ATTTGCTGTTCCACGCCTGAGGAGACTAATATATTGTTTGTTACGAAAGTTCTGTGGGTAATGCAATAGAATACTATACTGTGGTAGCTCCTATAATTGGCTTTGAGAAGATGGTTGAAGTGAGCAAGTATATTTAATTTATTAAGGTATAGTAAAGTATATTTAATTTATTTAATTATTTTATAAATGAAAGTATATTTCATTTATTTTCACACCAGGAGTATTCCTTTGCCAGTAAACATGCATGGAACAGAGTCTGAGCTCAAACAAACAGAATTGTTTCACTTTCTTTATAGTAGATGGCATAGGTATAAGTAGAAGAGCAACAGAAAGGGAAAGATAAAAGACCAGTATAGAAAAACAAGAATTTCACTGGGAAGCTAAAGAAAGAAAAATTATTCTTGAGACTCGTGTGATTTTTGAGCCCATTCTGGTTTGCTTGTCCCTGTAAATCCAGAGCAACTTATATAGAATCTCAGAAATTATTCTGTAAATTTTGGACTAAATTGGGTGCTTTCCCTTTAAGGGGCAGATTTAAAGCAATACCATCCTTTGTTCTAACAAAATAGTTCAGGCTTGTCAATCCAGAAGATTTGTGCATTGCTGAACATAATGGCATTTTATTACCTAGTTTATTTCTGTCTAGCATTCTAAGACTCCTGCTGGTGCGTTGACTCAAGAGTAGTTTTTGGTTTGGAAACATGAACTCCAGTGTCACAGATGAGTTTTTTCTTTTGGTAATGCATATTATTTCTTTTAAGTTATTAAATGGTCAAGAAAGGAAGTGTTTGGCCAGACAGAAGTTGTGTTTCAAACTGTGAAAACCTAAGCAGCAGTGTGTGAAAATAGTAGTCTTTACTTTTGCTCCTCTTGGTCTGTTGTTAATGCAGTTAGCTTGTTTCTAACAGTAGTTCAGTATATTATAGTGAAGCTTAACTGCTGTGTATAACGGGTCTCTCACCTTCCTCAGTTGTGAATCAATAAACCATAGCCCTTGTTCCTGCAGAAGGACGGATGTCCAAATCCAGAAGTGCCCACTGAAGACCAGCAGACTATCCTGTCCTATTTACACAATAATTTAGGCAGATTAACGATGGCCATTATCTGAAATTGCATATTGATCCAGTGGATTATAGTAGCTTATTTCAAGACAAATCCTTCAGTATTTTTACAGTTTCTATCAGGACGCTTGCACATAGGAAGGTATCATAGCAAAGGTAGATTCAAGAGATGCCTTTATAGAAATACGAAATGTGAAATTTCCTGCTCTTAGAGCAGGTTTAGGATAGAAGTAACCTTAAATGTATTTTCTTGCGCAGCTTTATGCAGTGTAATTTAGTTTTCCCTTTATAAAACAACATAAAAGGTTGAGAATTTTGGCTATGCCCTTCTACATTCAGTTGTAACATTGTAAACATTCATCTTATATCTTCCTTTATGGGAAGCTATAAATGTCCGTCAAAATATTTGCATCTCTTCAGTAATTTAAAGTATTACAAACAAGGGCCAAATTTCAACATACTTGTCAAATGGTTTCAGACCTTCACATACATTTCTATATACATACCCCAGTTTGTACTATCCTTCTACACATACTCATGCCATGCAGCTTGTTCCTGACTGAAACAATCTGTGGAAAAGATATACAGTTGCATCTCATGTGGATATCAAACATGAGCGCATACATGTATGAGTAAATGCATGGCATGTGCTTGTAAAAAAAATGACTTCTAGAACATATATCATTGCTTTGATGCCCAGGATGCACTTTGCATTTTAAACACAGAGGTTTTGTGCTGTACCCGTGGAGTGCTGTGTTTGGGATTTCTGAGCTGGTTATACATGATTTATCTCAGATACTCCACGTATGTAGTTACCCAGGAGAAAAGCTAGCAGTGCTGTGTGCTTTTTCCAATAAATGAGCAGGCTCATGTAGACTTATTGCCAGGATCTTGTTGTTGTGGTGCTGCTTTGTGCTATGTGGACGTACCTTGGAGGAGGATTATGTGTCAATCACTCATAATAGTCTGAGGCTGGAGTCTTGCATTTGACATACATAGAAACTTGCACAGCCCTTACTACAGACATCTGTATGCTGGCCATTATTTTCTAACCAGGTTCCTAATGCTGTTCTGTAAGGTGATCTCTGCCAATATGTTATCCAAATAAAACATTCTGAATTTTAGTGAGTGAAATTTCATTGCTGTTTAACCCTTAAAATGCTCTATGCTAATTTGTGAATAATTTGGCCAGCCTTCAGTCACCTCTCCTTGATAGCAAATACTGAATCAAGTATTTACTTGATTTGTTTCCTGCCTTAGATGGGACACTATTCTTCAAATAGATTTAGGGACATTCAGGTTCCTCCCATACTTAGTTGTAATAGCTAGGACATATAAAATGCAATACTGCTGTCCAAAAACCTAGAAGCATCTGCTCCTATTTAGACTATTTGATAACTATTCAACCACTACCCTATCTGTTAGAGTGCCTATTTTGGGCATTCTGCCCAAAAGGTAAATACTTCGCACTCTTGGCTGGCAAAAAAAAACCCGAAGCAAAGATCAGATTTGAAGAAGAAAGAAATAAAATAGAGAGCTTGAGAATGTAGCAGCTAGACTGATAAATAACAAAATGTGATTACTGGGAAATTGCGCATACCATGCCAATTGTAGAAGAAATCTGAATGTTTCTGTGATTGCACAAATCTGTAGGCTAGAGAGGTTTGATGGAAGGACACAGTTATATTCTGTCCCCCATTTAAAGTGCAGTCTTTTGGGTTTTATATTACTTTTCATATTAACATAATATGAAGGTGTTTGGGTTGGTTCAACTGAAGAGCTTCAACAGGGCAAGAGATAATTAGAGAACTGTTGTCTGAGAAATTACAAAGTAATGGCCTTGATACATTCAGATGAAGCCAAAAATGCATCATGAAATTCCTCCAGGAAAGTTAAGCCTAGAAAGAAACCAAAATTCTGAATTTATTGCAATTTCAATGTGGGACTCTACAGGGGTTATGGATCAAATCTGCTGTTGCAGATCATAACGTCACATAATACTAATTATAATTTTTCCTCTGGATATCTCCTGTTCTTTCAGCTTGTTAGCTTTGCTTTATTCCAGTGGACGTTTGTGAAGTGTAATGTTATTTATATTATTCTCATTACAAATAAGCCTACAGGCATGCTATGCAGTTCAGAAAGTGCTATATTTCCATTTCACCATATGTGATCTAAGACATGTACTTTTCTCAGTCACCAGATTTCGCACTATTTGCTATGTCATATTTGCAGTACAGAATCATCCTCTTGAGGTTTTTTGCCCCATTTCTCCATATCACATCCCCGCAACACATACTCAGCAGAATACGGAGCTTGCAGCCAGATACCACAGTTGTGGAAGCTTCTTAAGTCCTTGTCATAACAGTAGTCCCTGACATTTAAAGAACTTCAGTTTATATTTGCAAGCCAAATTTCATACCTTCATACCTCTTTTGATTAATCAAAATTAAACCATTGTATATGCGAAGGGGCCTCTTGTGGTTTCTAAGTAAGTAGTATGGCTTTTCTGGCAGAGAGCCACAAGCAATTTAGTGGGCACATATTGTGGGGGTTGAGAGAGAGGCAGGGATAATCCAGAAAACTTTAGGAAGGGCTGAGTGAAATTAGTATTTTTATACACAGTACAAGAATTTTGCATTCTGTATCTTACTTTTGGCCACAGTAAAACTGTTTTGATGTGTTGGTAAAATAATTCTATAGCATCAACTTGGTTTTCCTCTCAGCCAGTTTTGCACTGATTTTGCTTCAGCTGAATTATTCCCAATTTGCACCTGTGGCAGAGAAGAGCTAGGCACAGGGGATTTCATTCACACAGTGTACAATTAAGTATCATATATACTTATGTCACTAAATTATTTCCACGGGAATAACTTTAATATTGTTCCTAGTTGTCTTCAGAAATAATAAAGTTTAATTTTGTAGCCTAAATGTCAAAATGAGGCTTTATCATGTAACTTTTGCCTGAGAGCTGTACAGCTGTAAATAGATACTAACATAAAAGGTCTGTCTCCAGCAGAGCCGATCTCTCTTTCCATTTCTGACAGGGGTCACATAGCCAATGTAAATTACCACCATAAACTAAATTCCACCTCTCCTGTAGAACAAAGTGCTTGATCTGCCTGTCTAGAAGCCAGGAGCTACACAGAGAACTGTAATATTTCAACAATTCAGCATGAGTGGCAACCTATTCTTAATAATGAAGCACTGGCAACATTTAATTTCATTTTGTCTCAACATATTAAAATCCATGCTTTCTTTAGGGGATTTAGGAACTATTGGAAGGGAGCCTGAAGACAAGGAGAATAATTCAAATAGAAGCACTATCTTCCTCTGTATTTCATGCAAGATTGAGGTTCAATATGCACATCTTGACATTAGTAGGGAATGAGTTACTCTTGGAAAAGGATAGCCTAGCTGTCTCAAGAATGTGAGTTCTTCTCCATTTTATCTGTCATTTGGATTTAATTAAAAATCAAATTCAAATGTAGATTAGCCGCGTCAAAAGAGTTAGTGGGTTTTAGTAGAAATGGAATTACTTTTGAAAAATTTAAATTATTATTGCTAAGTTTTTGGAAGTATAATGATTTACATGTATGCTTCATAACTAAGCTGCGCAATGCTGTTAAAATTTATATCTAGGCTGGAAAAGAAAACCTGAAGCTAGGTCCGTATATAGATACAACATCTTGGATTCAGTCTCACAGGCCTCAGGAACTGAAGAACACAGCACTAGAAAAACTATCCAACAGACAAATCAGAGAAATTTTGGCCCCAGTTCAGTATTATTTTACACACTTCTTGTTTTATACTGAAGATGAATTCAATGTAAATGTTTGGAATTCTTCTTACAAACTTGTTGAAAAGGGACAGTATTTTAGCATGATTCCCTTGTACAAACCTGGTGTTTAGCAGATTACGTATGTTATTCTGTTATAGGTACACTACAGTGATAGACAAAATGGCAAAGAGTGTATGACCTGTTTGACACTGTCTCCTGTGCAGATGACTTTCCAAGGTATCGGAAGCTCCATTGAAGCCAGCCATGACCAGGTATAATACCTTCACCCCACACTCTCGTAATTTTATTAATATCCAGTAAGGCCAGAATATCAGCGTTAGTAGATTTTAAATGTCAGCACATCTTGTGCTTTTCATATGGCATGTTCTTGTCACTGGGATTTGCTTATCTTGCCATAGTAAAATCCTGATTAGATCTAAAGAGCAATCCATAAAGGAGACAAAACTTGCCTTTTACATATTTTTAAGACGTTAGGAAGCCTGAAGAGCTTGCTTTAGTTTAAAGTCAGATGTAAGGTTTCTGCAAAGGTTGTGTTTGATTTTATGAATGTATCAGGTCTTGTCTATCCTATTTGTAATAGAAGATTAGGGGTAGATGGAAAAGCAGGGAGATGAAGCCATCATCTCCTGCCATCATCTGTCACAAGAAACTGGCATTTGAGAGGGGAAAGGAATTTTTAATCAGACTGTAAAACTCCTGTTTTGTTTGGCTGTTCTTAAAATGTTTAATTCAAGCCTCTGGCGAAGAGCCAGGAAGAAAAAAACCCTAAATGTTAATCACTCAGCACCCTGCTCCTTCAGATGGGAACTTAGGGGGGCTTCCATTTTAATATTCTTGTCCTCCAACACTCAAGTATAAAAGCAGGGCAACACTTGGTTACTCCAAACGTTTTAAAAGCAAAAAGGAAAAAAATAGATGAAACCAAACCTTGTACCTTTCAGATCTTCAGTAGATTGGAAACAGTACCAGTTTTATTTGCCTTTGCAGGCCATCTTTGAATTGTACTGTGTTCACATTTACCATACATTTTATTAGGCTCTGTGACAAATTCTCTAAGGAAAGAGGGAAAGAGGGATAATTCTTAATAATTATCAGAATTATTAGTTACTTTTGGGGAAAAGTTTCAGACACTTTTATCCATATTTTTGATTGGTGCATTGTTGGTTTTTTTCATTTTATTGGAAGTTTCTAAGTTAGTTGTTAACATAAACTAAGCCCATTAGTTATTTACATGGTAACATGAGGATACTTCCTGTCCTTAAGTGTTCGAGTGTTTGGTGTTTTGTAATAATGGAGAGCTGTGGTAAGTCAGACCATACTTCGATGTTCAGTTCTGATTTCATACAGCAACTTGTTTATGCTGTTCTAAACTCACTCTGTTTTTCTTTCGGTAAAGATTGTCTTTTAAAATTTAGTTATAACTCAAATACAATATTTAGACATTTCAATGAATTTGAGGTGGTCCCTGTCAATTTGATAACAACTACATTCTGGGCTACCAGCCAGCTTGGCCTTTGTCTTAGCATTTATTTAGGCTAGAGTATGATATGTAAACAGAAAAAAGACTTTGTAAGCAAAAAGCACATTTAAGCCATCTGAATAATTATACATTTAAGACATCTAAATGAAAAAACTGCTATTGAGCCTGCAAAGTCAAGCACCTAGAAATGAGGAAATTCTAGATTACATGCAGCATTAGTCTGATCCCAAGCGTACCCATTCAGTGCTCCAAACAGGACATTCTTCTGGGAGGAAAAAAAAACACCATAAAATCACATAGATAAAGATTTTATCATAGGATGTGCAGAAATAGGTTTGCTTGAAGCATAATGTAGCTGCAATTTCCTAATCTTGCTTCAACTTGAAGTTTAAAAAATGTTCATTGTTGGTTCATTGGTTTTAGTTATGTAGTTTTCAACAGTATTCTTCAAAAGGAAAGAAAAATGTTTTGTCATTGCATGATGGTGTGGTTGCATTATTGAACCCACATCACTTATGAAAAGATTTCATCTGAGCTGAGAGCAAAAGAAAGCAATCACCTAAAAGCCAACTGCCAGCCAGTGGGTCACGAAAGAGATCCACATACTGGACAGGATTCACAAATTTCTGCTTGTCTCCTTCCTAAATATCAAGAGTTCCAGTATCTGGGAAAAGGGATGCTCTTGACTGGTTGTGTTCGATAAGCAGGGTGGCAGGACTGAATTGAAACGTTATTTGCCTTCACCTGAATAAATAGAGAATAACAAATCATTAGCAAACAGAAAGCTCATCAAGTGTCTGTCAGGCACTGACGTTAATTACTGACAAAATTACAGGGCTTAATGGGCTAACTAAAAAAAACCCAGAGCAACCAACTTTTGTTTCTTGTTCCTGTGTAATTGGTATGATTTTGCTTGGGTTTCTCCCATTTTTCTCACAGCAGATTAACTTGATACAGTTATTATTCTTATAAAAATAGGAGACAGAACTGCTGTACCTTTGTTAAGCTGAAATACCCACATTTTAAAGTTGCAAATGCAGTAAGTGCAAGATAGCTGTATCGTATAAGACTTGAATTCCAGAAACTCTTCTTTATCTTAAGTAGTCTATTACTTTTAAATCATCTCTTTTGCATTGTATGGTAATTAGGACTAGTAATTAGGACTAGTCACCTGAAAGCCTGCGATTTCAATAGGCATGTTGATGCCTATGAGGCCTGACATAGTTTGACTTCAGGATCTGTCCACTTCTATGCTCATGAGTATAATTTTTCTCATGTTCATTCTAAAATGTAGATTTTAGAATTTCTATGTTTCTTAAAAGCAAAACTGTCTAAATGAGACTCTGGAATAGTTCGTGGGAAAGTGGTGGGAGCTGTATACCAGATTTGTCCCTGTATTGCGGCAGCAGAACCACAGCTGACCACATACCTTGATCAAAAAAACAAAGAGAAATGAAAAAAAAAAGAAAGAAAGCCAGCTTCCCAATGGCATCTCCAGCACTACAGTCTGCCTTCTACATTGGATTTGTCTTTTGTAATATATCTCTCTACTCACATCCAGTGGTAGATTTGCTTCCAGCAGATACCAGATGGTTACAATCCTACATAAGTACATTATCTTGCTTTTTCAAATATGCCAGGACTTGACACAGCAGTTTTTCAAGTCACTTGCTCTTTTCCTATGCTCTCTAGGAAGTTTTCATTCTTTAGATTGGTTTAACTTGTGATTTTAATGAGTTTACATTTTTTCCCTATATACTTCATTTGAGCTCTTTCAGATTAAACATTTCATACTTGTACACTAATTAGTGTGCATTTCAAATGGCTGATTGACAAGACATATCTCATTTGATCATGAAGCAGTATTGTGGAAGCAGTTGCTGCTCTTTCATTTTCCTTTGGCAAACAGTAAAAAAAGGGAAACATCCCTGAAGTACCGCTGCAGTCTAGCCTGCTGCATGTTTTGTTGGGTTTTGTGTTTAGCTGTGCCAACATCTTTGGTAGAAATGTAATGGTTTTTAGAATACTTTTTTTCTGAATGATTTCTTTTCCTATTTGGGCCCATTTTGAGATTTTTTGAATGCTTGCCATGGAATACTCAGCCTGTACGACTGAATTTTTAACCCTGATTTTTTTTTGAACTTGATGTTCATTGAGGAGTGACCAGTTCTTTACTTAAATTTCAGGAGAGACATCAAAGAACAGTGCATTTTCTTAAAGTTTTATTAAAAATTTTTTGGTGATTTTGGAGGTTTTTATATATGTGCAGTTTTTGGAGTTGGCAGTATTATCCATTTGCTTATTACTGACTTCTGCCATTACTTCATCCTATAGTCCCAATGAGATGTGCTGTTAAAGTGACAACTTCTTTCAAAGCAGACCTTTTCTGCTTATATTTTTAGTCCATGCTATTTAATCCAATCCATTATATTTGTGTTGTATGTTAGACCATGTTTTTAGAACTTTCCTACACTTTAATGCCTAAAATAGAATATTTTTATTTTCTAGGGCAGATAACCATTGTGTGATGCTATGTATAATCTACCACTATTATCACTTTTATTTTCAAGTATAAAAATAGCTGGAAAGGGAATAAGCAGGGGCAGAAATTGTAGAGGTAGAGAGCTACTGATGAGACAGAGAGACTTGATAAGAGAGTCCAGCAGGGAGGAGATGTGCTAAAAGAAAGCTGCCACGCTCAGCAGTTTCAGAAATTGCTGACAGAGCGCTTGACAAACAGCAGTGACATGCAAACGGAAATGTGGTATGAGGCAAACCATCAATACAGGCCTGCAAACAGGCATTTCTGGGCAGGGCCAACGGATTGTGGTAATGCCCAAAGGTGAACAACTCCCAGTGCACTTGAATATAGCAAAGGTGAAAGTAGTTCTCTAGGCATAAAAGACCTCAGAGATGGGTGTCAGGCTCAGGGGAAGGTGTCTGAAGCATTGAAACTTAAGGTTTAAGAACTTTACCCGTAGCAGCAAATACATAATACATATGAAGTTCCACATCTCTGTATTTGTTATGGTCTGAGAATTGTAGATCTAGGGATTTATGCCAGCCAGCATCACTGCCTTATCTGTAAGAAAATCAAAAGCCACAAAACCTAATGCTGTAGTCAGTGAGTATGCAGAGGATGAGAATTTTGTCCAGTGCTGTACCTGAAAAAGATTAATGGGATTAGGTTTTTTGTTAAGATACCTTTCCACATCATAAAAAAAGATTATTTAGTGGACATGACATTAATTTCGGCTTAAAATTATTTTTGTTCTAAGGTGAAATTCTTGTTTTCTAGATGTTCAGATTTACTTTAGGGGGCAGTTTTATCCTGGACATAACCAAAAAATAAGAAAATATTAGGGTTTTTTTTTTTTTTTTTTAAGATACATGTGTTACTTTTTTTGGCTGGTGTTATGATGTGCTTCATTTTTCAGCTTATTTCCACTTGATTTACTATAAATGCAGTTCTCATTTCTTTGGGGTGGCTTCTTTAATAAAATGAGAAAATGTTAGTTTGACTCAGTGAAAATCTTCTTGTATTTTTCCCAAAGCCTGGCAGTTCCATCACAGCCATTTCAGCATCAGGACTCCTACCCGACCTTGTAAAAGCATCTCCTTCTCATGCCAGTGTGATGCGGCTGACTGATGCCTTCTCCTTGACATAATCTTCAGAGCGAGTGAGGCATGGCCACAGCTGAGTGCCTGGTGCTCCAGAAGAGCCCATTCATGCTTTTGATATATAGCACCATGTCTCACTCTTCTCTTACTGTGTCGGGGAAGTTTCAGTCAGGAGTCATCCCACCAGGTTTTAGTTAGAATCACCAGGCTGTTGTCTGCTATTTGGAACTTTTTCTTTGGCTGCTGTGCTCACCATGACTGTGTGTGGAATGTTGGTACATTCTCTCTGTATTCTTCATCTTCTGTTTCGCATTATCTCCGTCTAGATGTACGTGACAGAACATTTGCTTTTCCCTGGCAGCTGAGGCTTTCCTTGGTGAGCCTGAGATCAAACATTTGTATTTGTTCAGGATCCATAATCTTTCGTTTTCAAAAAGTGAGTTAATAATTAACTGCCGAATGGGAACAGAATGTAAACCAAGGCCTGGCTATCTCCTGCCAGACCTCTTCGGTGCTCTCACTCAGGGCTTCCTGAGCAGCTTCCCAATGTGACTGCTTGCTGAAGATGCCGAATCTGATGTTCCATGGCTCTGTGTATGTATGTTTGTTTACACAGTAGTGTCAGCAGGGTATGAAATGCTGCTGTTGCAGTCTCAGGGTGTCTTACCTTGCTTAGCATGTAAATGATGACAAAGAAAGACCATGTATTTTATGGGGACTCTTCTGTTGGTGACAACTGTTGGTGAGGTTTCACAAGAGTGGTGAGATTCACAGAATCACAGAATGGTTGAGGTGGGAAGGGACCTCTGAAGGTTGTCTGGTCCAGCCCCTGTGCCCAAGCATGGCTACCTAGAGCAGGCTGCCCAGGACCATGTCGCAGGATTATCTCCATAGTGGGAGACTCTATCTTGGTCGTTCCTTCTCACCGAGTTCATCTCCAATCCTGGCTACTTCCTAAACCACTGAGCTGGCAGAAACTAACTCCAGTTTTTATCTAGTTAAGTGAATTGAACTGATCTACTGTGGCTTACAGGAGTACCAGAGCTGAAACAAGGGAGACATCAGGACTGCCCAGCCAAGAGAAGAGGAGGGGAAGCCACCCCCTTCCACAGCAGCAAGCTGTTAGATCAGGTTACCCACCTTGTAAAATGTCCAATGAAGAGGATGAGGCAAAAATTAACTGTACAGAAAACTTATTTTTTTTGTAGAAAGGTTTGTCTTGTTTGGTACTCAAACCTGTTCGCTGTACAGTAGCATGACCTGGCATAAGAAAATAATACGAATGCACACATAAGGAGGGAGGAAGAGCAGGATCATATCAGCCCTGAGCTGGAGAAGTTTAGATGTTTTGAACTGCACCCTTAGTTGCTTGCATTAGCAGGCTTTCAGTGCAGCGTAGCATGTGGAAGTGAAAAGAAAGGCGTTAACAACATGCAGTGAGCCAGCCTTCTATGGATTACAGGCTAGCTCTTTGCTATCCTTAGTCTGAAAATCTGTTTCTGGGTTGGTTTGTTTTGCTGTTACTTTAGGCTCAGCTGGCCAACGGGGAAATATAAAAATCTTGAATCTTCTTGCTGGTGTTAGGGGAGAAGCTTAAAAGGGAAAGATACTGGAGAAGTTTGGAGAAGCTGAAAGTGTCAGTTTCTTCCTTGTCACACTGCAGCAGGAGACTGAGCCTTCTTGCAGTATCAAGAAATCTACCAGCTTTTTTCCTGACAGGAATAAACAGAGGGAAGACAACAGAGGTGGGTTTTTCTACTCAACAGTTAAAATTGGATAGGCATACACCTACTAGACAAAAGTTGGTGACAGAGATGGAGGCCAAATCAAAGTGGAAGGAGAGCCCCCTAGTAGTTTATGTTGCAGTTGGGATTATCAAGAATCTGGATTTTTCACCTTGACCCTGAGAGGACATATTTCATTTTAATAGCTATGTTCATTTTAATTTCTAGGACCGGTAAAACCTTTCAAACCTTATGATTTAAAACTAACACTTAGTCAAAACCCAGTTGCTTTTTTTGTAGGCACCTCCATTTTAGACAAAGAAAGTTACAGTGTACATGACTCAACTTTGTCACCTACCCTGTACTTGTCAGAGTTATTCTGTGGCATTTTCCACACACTAATCAAAGTAATGCTGTGTCTGTTTGTTGATGTGTGTTTAATCACTCGTCATTCAGTGAAGTTGTTTAACACACTAATGATGTAATTGCCATTTCAAAATACATTACCTTAACCACTCTGCAAGACAAAATAATGATTTGCACATGTTGCATCTGAGGAAATGTGCACTTGCCAAAATTGTGTTTGTCACCTAATTTTTCCACTTCTCTTGAAATAATATCACGTAGCTGGCATTATGCATTTACCTAGTACAAATGAAGTTTCATAGTTTTCTTGTTTGCATAATCGTCATGCAGCTCCCCTGAATCTACATAGTACATCCTACACCCCTTCATGTCAAGGATTCATAGCAAGAAGCCAGGATCTCATAATAAATATCCCGACAATAGCCTGAAAGGAAAGTGAAGGAAGTTGGGTTTTATAGGTAATTAATAATAAGTAATTAGTAATTTTATGAGTAATTACAGGGGAATAACCAAGCTCATGTCCCATGAAATACAATGGGGTAACAAAACAGTGCTCCTTTCTGTCACCACTTTATATTTATCAAATTGGTACAATTTTCCTCAGAGTTTCAACAACTTTTCCTTCTTTTTGAGATAGGTCTAACACAACATGACCAGCCCTGGTGGGCTACTCTAAGCTCTTCTGTAAACTTGGACTGCACCGTTCCCACAGCAAACTCCAGTCATCTGCTGTGTCTACATAACTTATGCACTCGTCTGTATGTAGTTTGGGTGATGTTTTTGGTGCTGAAGCACTTTTCTCAGTCTGTTGTAGGCAAACTTGTGTCTATTCTGGGCAGAAGTAGCATTACTTCAGGAACAAAGGAATAGTTTTGTCAAGTAATGGGAAGAGTGTCAAAGTAGTCATGCATGCACACTCAGTGCAGATTGTGGCAAGTTCCTGTCCAATTTAAAGTTCAGTTCTAAAGTTGCTCTCTAAGCTATGGTACCTGTAATATGGATCAGTACATTGAAGCTTTAGATCTCTGCTGAACATGAGGAAGTTGTGGAGCTATGTTTAGGAGCACTAAGATTAAATTCAGTTCCTAGATATTCATGGTGCAACAACATCCTGCTTTCTTCATTGGATGTTTTTTTAAATACCCTATCAAGAAAGAGATGAAAACTTATCCTAGCTTGATCATGGAAATTCCTTCACTTTCCTTTTTTACATGATGACTATTGATATCCTGTGTCAGACATCTCCAGGGAAAAGAAGTGCTTATATTCTTTCCTATAACTCATTTAACATAGAATCTGAGTCCTTCTCTTGTCTGTCAAACTCATTTCATATATAGTTTTTTGTAGTCTCACTGAGTTCCTCAGATCATCGTGTCAGAACATCCCACTGTTTGAGACAGGAAGGAGTCATCAGCCAGCCTTCTCTTCAAAGCATTTAATGCGCAATATCCTCACTTGATGGGAGTTTTTGCATCCCCAGAAGCTCCATATGTACTTGTGTCCTTCATTTCATAGCCCTTACAGATGGTCTGTGTCCCAGTACTAATGCTTAATTCCAGTAAGATCCTTCACATATGCTGAATGTAAGTCTGCTTCCAAGTAATTCACTGTCTCAAGGATCCAGGACTTGAGATAATAAACACTAAAATGGAGGTATCAAGCAAAACCAAAACAGTGAACTCTTAAGTTAAACTTTAAATTTTGTAAGTATTTCTTCATATTCATTCTTTCTCTTTCCCATCATTAGGGAGACTGTGAGACCTAGTTTTCCACAGATCCTTACGGCTGTACAAATAATTGATTTTACAGTCCAAAATCTCCTCTCTCATTCTGCATCCCCTCAAAAAAACAATTCAGACTGGCCCAAAATAAAGAAAAAAGTGTGTCTAGCCAAAAAAAATAATTAATTTTGTACTTGGGCATTAGTAGTGAAAGTAGGAAAATAGCTGAGATTCACAAAGCTGGTGGGAAAAATGATGAATTACTTTACCTACAAGCTCAGCGGCTTGTGTGCTCACACAAGATGCAGAAGATGTAAATTTTATTCTACACCTCTCTTTGCAGGAGCATGAATCCTCTGTAGGAGCCCTCCTCATGCTGCAGAGCAGCACAGCTGGGTGGCCACAGGAACACAAAGTAAAAAGCACAGAGTGGTCATCTTCTTTGATGCACTAAAACAGTGTGCTCAGTAGAGCTGCGTGAGCAGAAGGGTTTGGGGGAATTCTTCTTTAACAAGATGGCAGTTAGAGGGCTGTTCTGAAAGGTGAAAAGAAGGATTCGATTCCTCCTGGGAGTCAAAGAGCCGTAAGCTATGATTTTCCACAGTTTGGTATTGACTATCAAGTGAATCTTGCCCTTTTGTTTTCACAACAAATGGCCAAAGCTAAGCAAACTAATAGATAACTTCTAAGTTTCTGAAGTTATTTACAGTTAAATTGCAGAATACCTGTCCCAACTCTGGAAGTGTGTTTACCCAACACAAAGCTGCTTTTTCCAATGTATATCTATTTTCAGGAAGAACATGCTTACCTTGCTCTACAGCCCACCCCATCCCTGCCACCAATACATATCCAGGTGGTGGTGGCATTGATTAAACCAGCAAGCCATGTGCTCCTCATGGTTGGAGGTTGCCACACGGACCCCAAGGAAGGACTGCTAGGTCAGGCTACAATGGCAGTTTAAGGTAATAAGACATGTTCTGCTGGACTCACTGTGTTCCCCAGCAGCCTCTAGAAAGTCTTCTTCCTTGATCTCATAATTCTTCTAAGCATAACTTGCAGACAAAATGAGAACTTCTCTTCCTCAGCATTCAGCTCTTCAGCTGTCTATAAAAAAGCTTTGCATTTGCTTCAGGGTGGATATATGGCAAGAATTCATAAAGGACACCTTGGCATTTGTTTTTATCTCTGCTGTTGCTAAATCTCTTATACTGGTAGCTCGATACCGTAAGTGCTGAAGACTTAATTCTCTACGTGCTAACAGCAGTGGGGCTCTAAGCAGTTCCTGTACCCATCATGCCTAAGCTATTTACATAAAAAGCACACCTTTTGCTGATACTGGCTACAGGGCTCATCCCAGTAACATAAAGATTTTAGCTGGTTTGTGGGATCACAGAACACCTGTTTAGTCATTGCTTTAAGACATCAGGCTGTTCAGCAAGTCAGTCCTATTTCAGACTACTCCCTAAATATTTCATATTTTAATGCTGGTTTGAATAATTGGGGTCATTTTTCTAGCACAGCAGGCTCTAGGGAATTATGAATTGAGAAAATTTTTATGTTGTCATATTTGATTCAGTACCCTGTTGTCATTTATGTGAAGTGGTACAATAATACACTGTCAGTCATTTAGGGGACAGCTGAGTGTGCATGGAGCTTTGTTCTTGTGAGTGAGGCTTCCCAGGGTGCCGCAGTTCATCAATGCAGCTAATACTGCAGGACCAGGGGCTTGGTTTTGGAGTATGCCAGAAAACAGGAACATTCTTTCAAATTAAATAAAAAATAAACAGGGATCAGTGTGTAGACCTTTTTTTGTCATCATGCATCTGTCCATACTTGTGAGGAAAGTAGTACAAAAGCAAAAAATTGGAAAAGAATGTTTGCTATAACTTTCTAAGCTGCAAAATAGTTAAGCAAGAAGATACGGGTTTGGGACGGAATTAAGGAAATTAAAAGGAGGCATCAAACACTGTCTTGACCAGAAAATGGTTTAAAGCCCCATTTGACCTCATAAACAAAAATATTAGCACAGAAGTAGTCTGACATGCTGGCAAATAGATTTGCACATGTCAAAGTACTTTGAGAAAAGTTGCAAGAATTTGAAAGTTTTTTGGCCCTCATTTAAATAAACTGGATCTTGCAGAGTTTTTTGGAACTCCCCTGATAAGTAACACTTAAATCCCTTTTGATCAAATACCCTTTCTCAGGCAATTACATCTTCTTAATTTAGAGGCCAGTTCAAAAGATTGCTTGTTACCTTCATTTAGCAAAGGTTCAACTGCTGCAGTTTTCTGATCCTTTTAAAAAATGCAGTGAAAGTTTACACAATAAAAGTTCTTTTTTCATTCTCAAATTAATTATTTTGAAATATCTCACAGATTACATCAGTTTCTTACTTGCATTCATGTTGCAAGATGGCGACTATTGTATGTTGCTAGTGATGCATTAAATTAGTTGTTTACATTATAAAATCTAAACATATTAGAATCTTTTGTGTTTGTCTTCAAAGATTCCTATTCTAATAAAGCTTTCTGAAACAAGTTAGGTTGTCTTTTTTGTTTAGTTTATGCATCAGTGGAGAACCTAAAGATCTGTAGCCTCTAGCCATCCCTGTCTGTGTTTAGTAGAGTGTAAAGTGATTGTATTTGGGGCAACATATATTTTCATTTAAAAAGGAAAGTAATATTTTTCAATTAATCATTTTGCAGTTATAAAAAGTAGCTCCTGGGGCAAATGTAGATGGAAAGTTAAAATTTATCCTCTGTTCTTAAAGACTGTTTTGCTGTGAGTTTTAGTTGGAGTAAAAGAAGTATGTACAATGTACTGAAAAATAGAAATTTTGGCTGCGTCCTTCCTATTTCTGATGGCTTTGTATCACTCTTCAGGTCAAAGTGATACAAGACCAACATTCAGTAGAGAACAGTATTTGGGATTTTAAAGAAATGCGCAATTTGGACTCTCAATTTTGCTCTTTAAACAATGTTATAACAGAGACCTAATGAAATATGAAAAATAAAAGCAAAAGCTGACAGCTTTAATATGGCTGGAGTTGTTTTGTGAAATTAACTTCTTTTATTATTAAGGGGAACTCATGAATACATTTTTAGCAGCAAAGGAGCTTCTTGAAGAGTCAGCTGAGCAGTGTAGCAATGAGTCCCCATACTTTCCCCTCAGCACACTCCTTTTAAATGCAATTGTCTGAGTTCTTCAGCTGGAGATATGACTGCTTTAATACACTTTATAGGTCATTCTGCATCTGCCTTGCAAACATGTGTTTTAATGTGTTTAGACATACACCTTTCTATGTCAACAGTATTGGCAAGTCATGAGAAAAGAGCAGGGTTTCATTTGCCTGTCAAAACCCAAAATAACTGCATTAAGCAAATGGCCAAATAAAATTGTCACCACTCTACTTTCTGTCAATGAGTGTCACTGAAAGGAAGAGTAGTGAGCTAAGTGTTAACTGCAGAAGATTATTTTCTATGTAAAAGATAGGCCTTGTAGGGTAACAAGTCAAGATCACTTCATATCTAAATAACCTCTAGAACATACAGTGACATATCAGGCACTGTGTTATAGTAAGACTTGGGAAATGTGACAAAATAAGCAGTGGAATGAAGAGAACAGTACTAAAACCAGTTGCAAAAAAAACAGGAAGAATAGAATTTGATGAAACTATGAAATATCTTAAGGAACATCTTGTTTCTAGTCATCACTAAACAGTGAGAAAAGTGATAAGGGGTAAACTGGCTGTTTTCAATGTACCATCTTTAGACAAAAAGGCTAAGTGATTAAAAGGTACTGAAGATTACGTAAATAAGTGTAGCATTTTAAAGTGTTGGATTGAAAAATAAAAGGATATATTATTTGCTTGAAAGATTTTTTAATGAAAGAAAGTATGAGAAGGTATGAAGCAGTCTGATGTAACAGCCCACCAGAAGTTGTTTCAGAGGTAATCACTTGCTGAGATATTTAGGCAAGATGTGTTCCATCAGCAGCATAAGACACTGCCATGTGTAACAAGATAGTAGTACTCAGGATACCTGAACAGCTTTATTGAAGTTTAATCATGAAGCTTCAAAATTAATATGGACTATGATCCAAAGTCTAAAATACAAATTAAAGCCCCATGAGAAAAAATAAAGGCTACATTTTAAATATACCCTCTAAGTCAGGACTTATGATTTAGATACTTTAAACTATGGTATTCAGAAACAAAAAACACGCACAGCTTTTAAACGGATGCATGCTTTATTTTTTGCCAGAACTTTACTCGTTCAGTTTATAATGATACCAGATGAGTTTCTAAACCACTTTCATTAAGAAATTCTGACCAAATGTCCTGATCCTGTAAACATTTTCATATTTAATGTAGGTCTGCATACGAGTTGTTCCTTTAGATCACCTAATGATCAATACGTACAAATGTACAGACAGGCAGAAATGCAAGTTCAACTGATGTGAATGAAGGTTGATCTGAGGTGAAATACAAAATACAGCAACATTCCCTGGGTTTAGTATCACATCTTCATTTTGTCTGGGATCTTCTCTAAAGTGCGTAACAGTAAAACAAGGCATCTCTAAATACAGTCAAACTAAGAACTGATATTCCTACATTTAATTTTTAATGTAAAACTACATGAAAGTTGCAGTTTCCAGCTATAGCGCAGAGTTTATAGTAGAATAGATAATTTGGTTTTTGAACTCCCTTTTGCCCTCTTTTCTTTTCCAATGGTATAACCAAGTGATGTGGATTGGTTTCTGCTATACAAAGAAGTCAGAAAGTCTTTTTGGGTCTCAGAATGGATATTGCGAGTACACTGAGGTAGTGTGTTGGCTCAGGAAATTTGGTAAAGGCAGTGTTACAGAGTTTGCAGCTGAAGTTTCCATTAAATTCCTTGTCTGGCAGAAGAAAAAAAAGCTGAATATCACTGAGTTTGAGAGAAGCTGTGTGCTTTTCTTCTTGTCTGATCTTCCTCTACCTTTTAAAAGATCTTGGTTTTGTCTTTGTTACTTTTGAGACATCTCCCTGAAAATCTCTCTTACTGTAGGTCCTGCAGGTCCACTTAGGTTGCCCACACCTTCTCCCATAAGCAGAATAATTTAAGCTTCTTTAGTCTTGAAATGCAGAGAAGATTTTGCATAGCTTATTCTTCTAACTCTTTTTCAGAACCATCTGATTTGT